GTCTCCCTCCCAGCCCAGCCCGCCACCTATAACCCAAAATAACCCTCCCCTACCCAGGCCCGATCAGCCCAATACCCACCCCATGGTAACCCGGTCCAAAGTCGACATATCCAAACCTAAACACATCCTCAACCTTAACTCCATGGCCCAAATTTCTCCCCTTCCACCCACCTACCGTAGTGCACTTAAGGATCAAAATTGGTACAATGCTATGTGTGATGAATTTAATGCTTTGATTAAAAATGAAACATGGGAACTAGTGCCTCCCTCCCCCGCCCAAAACATTATCACTGGTAAGTGGCTCTTTTGCCACAAATTTGGCCCTACAAGTAAATTGTCTAGGTACAAAGCTCGATGGGTGGTCCGTGGATTTAATCAGCGCTTTGGAATAGACTACGACGAGACTTTCAGCCCGGTTGTCAAACCGGCTACGGTACGCATTGTTCTCACTCTAGCACTCAGCAAGGGGTGGCCCATCCATCAGCTCGATGTCAAGAATGCTTTCCTGAATGGGACACTCCACGAGACTGTCTATGGCCATCTCCCTCCGGTAAACATTGAAGTGTCTTGGCCCACGGTAAGGGAGTGGAAGCATGTGTGAGGACTCAAGAATTAAAAATAATAACGTAATATTTCTTCTACGCTACCTTGTTAATCAAAATAAAAGAGACTACCCGCAAATTATATTATACATGCGGCTGTACCCAAAGATGGGTACAGCCGGTAAAAGGAAACGGAAGATGCAGGATCAAAGAAGTTTGCAGAGGAGGAGAGGAGGGTGACGATCGAAGAAGCCTGGTTAAAGAGAGGCGACAACAAAGGGAGGCGTGAAGATTGCGAGGAGGCAAAAACGATGGAGTATGGCAGATTGAGGAAGAGAGAAGGCGATGGTGACAGCGGCGTTACAGGAAGCTAGAAACCCTAGGTGGGCTTGAAGAGATTTTAAGGGATGGAATGAAATTAAGCAATCAGAGATAATAGAGGAAGATTGGAAGAAATGGGGAGCGATGAAGAAGCGTAAGAATGATGATGGTACTGAATTTTTCAATTGTGAAAAAATTAAACAATAATTTATTTGAGAATGAGCATTTCCTTATTTGAGAATGAGTAATGCTTTTTTAAGAATAAACACTACGCTATTTATTATAATTATATTAGACAAATATGTAAAAATGAGTACTTTATTTTAAAATGAGTACTACCTTATTTCAAAATAAGTATTACGTATTTCAAAATAAATATTTATATTTGTACGAGAATGAGTACTACTTTTACTTCATAATGAGTACTACCGGGATGTAACTATCTTTAGGTACATCCGGATGTACCATATACCTTCTCGAGATTACCCTCCTTTAAATAAAAAACATAGAATCAAGATAAATATGGTAGAGATCTGGGCTTACCAAACTATTGGCTACCAAAAACTGAGCTCCTAACAAAAGAAGGAAATAAACTAATAACAATCCATTGAATCTCCCAAGGGTTTGAGAAAGAAATGAATTAATATGATAATTAATCTCATAAAAGATAAAGTATTTATGGAGTGATCACTGGTCAATAGTCACTCATTTAGGCCCTGTTTTTTGAATTAAAATTTCAGAGTTGGATATCGGAAGGAACTGAAAGAAATTGGAAGAAACTTGGAGTGGGAAAGAGTTGAAAAGAGTTGGAAAATATTGAAAGAATTTAAGTGTTAAAAAGCTACTCAATTAAATGATCATCAAAATACATATATAAGAGAACTCTTATTTTGGATAAAAATATTCATCATTATATGTGTTTGATGTGATATGTTATAAATTTGGATATATTATATTATTTTATATTTATCATATATAAATATATTTTTTAAATCGTTGTGTGAAGAAACTGAAAAGGTTTGGAATATATTAAAAAAATTAGAAAAAACTAAAAGAGAGAGTAAATTCCATAAAAGGTCCCTAGTTATAGTTCATTTTACATATTTAGTCCCTACATATCAAATATCAATAATTTAGTCCCCAATTATTATATTCATTTCCACGAAGGTCCTTTAATTGAGAGAGGAGTGATTATTTAAGTTTTGAGTTTAAACCTTCAAACTCAGCGACGAATTTGGGAAAGAGTACGAAAGGAGGTAGGAAGCTTAATTGAGGAGAGAGAAGTATGAATATACAGTTTTATCCATGTTCCTAACAGAAACGTTAACAAAGGACCATTCGTGAAAAAAGATATAATAATTGAGAACTAAATTAGTAATATTTGATATGTAGGGATTAAATATGTAAAACGACGTATAACTAGCGATCTTTTATAGAATTTATTCTAAAATAAATTAGAAAAAGTTGAAAGTACATCCCTCCCGTCCAAGAAAGAGAGGGTGGTTTCCCTCACTTGGAAAAAACACAAACATTAATTCCTCAAGTTGAAACCTAAATTCCCCACTTGAAAAATTGCATGTACTACATGCAAAAGAGTTTTTTTTAATTTTTTTAAAAAATGTCCAATCGCAAGTTCAATTATCCACCCCTTCTCATTCCTATTCAATGCAAAAAACTTACTCCCTTCATTCTTGAAAAGGGATTCTTAGTTTGACTAAGTGTAAAAATAAAAAAATGTCAAATTGTAATTGACTTTTAATTTTGTATTTCATGTGATGGATAAATTATTAGAGAAAAAGTATGATGTGACAGATAGGATATGAAAAAAATAAGGATAAAAGTGGTTTTTTAATATAAATGGAAGTGTTTTGTTGAAAATAAAAAAAATAAAAGAGAAAATATTTTTTAGAACGGAGGAAGTATCATACATGTGTATGTATGTATATCATGGTGTACATGTAGAAAAATAATAATGGAGAATAATTCTATGAAATATTTGCACTAAATAGCACTAAAACGTAAGCCATTTCCCTAAATAGTACTTAAACTGTTTTATTCTCTAAATAGCACTTAATTATGTCCATAATGTCTAGTGATGGCGAACATTCACTAATTCACTAGAATAATGACAAAGAAATATTTGTACTAAATAGAACTAAAACGTAAACCATTTTTCTAAATAGCACTTAAACAGTTTTATTCTCTAAATAGCACTTAATAATGTTCATAATGTCTAGTGTTAGCGAACATTCACTTGAATAATGACTAAGAAATATTTTTACTAAATAGCACTAAAGCGTAAGTCATTTTCCTAAATAGCACTTAAATTGTTTTATTCCCTAAATAGCACTTCATAATGTCCATAATGTCCAGTGATGACCAATATTTACTTGAATAATGACTAATAGAAAAATGACTAAAAGTGCTAGTTTGGGAAAAACACATGTGAATAATGTGATGCTATTTGGAAAACTCATTATGTTTTAGTGCTATGTACGTAAATTCTCCTAATGAGTCATGGATAATGACTAAAAGTGTTACATTTGGAAAAAACATATGTGATGCTATTTAGGGAAACTCATAATGTTTTAGTGCTATTTAAGTAAATTCCTCTAATTATATTCCTACTAAAACAAGAATTTTATCAAAATAGAAAAACTATCAACTCCTAGAACATATTCTAACAGTAAATTATCACCTAGGTAAATTACTCTAGATCGGGTATAAGATGATTTACTAAGGTTAAGAACTAAGAAGACGCAGTAAATGAAGATTAACCGAGAGGACTGTATGCGGGAACATTTGTAGTCCCATTATTATTAAGCACTGGGAAGAATACAGGGAGGAATTAAATATTGGAAAGAGTACAGGCCAAGAGAGTTTAGTTCACCTAGCGGAGAAGATCTAGGAGTTTGAAAAAAAATGATGCAACGTGTAACACCCGAAACCGTGTAGGTTTGCAGCCCCTTTCAGACTAAAGTATAAACTTGGTAATCGTAAAATTTAAAATCTTTCAAACACTTTTATTTATCATAATTGATGGTGTAAATTACCTAACCGGGTAAACCATGCTAGACCGGGTCTAGGGTTGTTTACAAGATTCCAGACAGCATAAGGTAACAAACATGCAAATTAACCTTATTTGAGAGTTACACAAGTATTTATAGGAACCATATAAATCATAGAAATCATACTGGGTAAGTTTATGCGGGTTGGATTTACTGAGATTGGGGATGATCCAAAGAAGTCATGTAGTTTGACCGGTAGAGTACTCGAAGTGTATTGGTCAAACTTCTGTCATCGACCAATATAAACTTCTGTCGTTTAGGCTTTTCAATCCAGAAATTCACCGTTTGACCGGTCAATGCTTGTGGTCCCCCCTTGGACCGGTACTGGTGGAATACACCCATCAACAATAATATTATTTGATGGTGTAAATTACTTGACCGGCCAAACTATACTAGACCGGGTCTAGAATAGTTTGCTTGATTTCGCAAAGTAAGAAAGGTAAAAACACGCAGATTGACCGGTAGGACTTTAGGTGGAACACCTGTAGCCCAATTTATATTATAACGGAGATTGCACGGGTGCTTTTACAAGGGAGTTTAGAGAGAGTGAATTCGGATCCCTCTTTCTGAGGTTTACATGAGTATTTATACTAGGCCAAGGGGGACAGGACCACGTGCGCCCACGTGGGGGCACGCTGCTGATGTGGTGCGAGGTGACTGGTTTTGTCCTCGAGCAGCCTTGTTGCCTTGTAAGGGGAACTACTTCCCTTGTCGCGTTCTGGCTTGGAAACATTCCTTCAGCATCTCCAGTTGTCCTTCACTGACATGGGTCGCTACATGCCAAGCCCTTTTAGATTCTCTTCTACCGACACTTTCCAACCCTAGAAACTACACCGGGTAATCTCCGAGGGATGAATTCATCGAAGTTAGGGAATAAATAGGGTGACAAAGTAGTTTGACCGGTATACTTTTTCGTGAAGTATACCGGTCATCTTTGGGCCGATGACATATCAATTTGCCGATGATTTAAGTCTCCCTTCCAAAACGTTCGAGATTGACTAGTCAACTAATTGGTCTTCTCCTTTGACCGGTCGTGGGTGGAATACACCCATCAATAAGCCCTCCACTTCCTGGTCATGCAATTTGTCATGAGCGGGAAGTAAAAAGTCTGAAACGGGACCTCAAATTCGAATTTCAGGCTTTTTCCCGCCCGAAAATCTCAAAATTTGAATTTGAACTCTGAACTTTGACACGTGTTGGACACCTGTCGTTGCAACGGTCAGCTGCCCACCCGTCGTTTCACCTGCCAGTGGGTCATCATTGCGCCGCCTGACGCGGCGCAACCTGAAGAGGCCACGATGTTTGATTCAGCTTCCCTCCTCCTATATAAAGGCCTCCACCCCTCTCCTTTGTTCACTTTCCGCGATCAAGTCTCAGAGCTTTCACCGGTCAAATTCTTCTCTCTCGCTATTCAGCCCTCCGAGTCAAGTAAGTTTCCCCTTCTTTCTCTAATTAGTTTCCCGGTCATGTCTTCTTTGGATAGCCATAGGACTTCTTCTTCAGAGGACTGCTCCTCTGAGGACTCCAACTCCTCCTCTTCGACCGGGTCTTCTTCTCCTGACTCAATGCCCGGTCAAACTCCTTACTCCCCCATACCTGAGCCGCAGCCTGTAAATCAGATGCTCGGTGAAGTTTTTACGGGGAGGGACGAGCCGGTTGATGACGAACCGGGTCCCTATGACCCTGAAAACGAAACCCGAGACGCGTGGGAGGAGCAGCTTCATGCTGCCGGTTACTTTCCGCTCCCCACCTTCTACGTCCTTGACATCCCTTCCCATGTATCCAAAATCGCCTTGAATAAAATTCGTAGGAGGCTCCCGGATGGGTATACCCTTTTGTATGAACATAACTGGCCCAATATTGTTGAACCCCACCGGGAGGATAGGATGGGGTTCCACACCATATCACAGGACGCGGGCATCGTTTTTCCCCTTCGCCCCCTCCTTACCGAAGTTTGCCATGCGTTTAGGATTTTGCCCGGCCAAATAACTCCTAACGCCCACCGGTATGTTCATTCCTTTGTAAATATCTACACTCATCTGAAAATCGTCCCCTCCTTGCGTCTTTTCCTTTTTTGCTTTGAAGTCCTACCGGGCGGGACTGGCTGCGAAGGTTTTGTATTTTTCAAAGCCCGTACCGGTAGGAAGTTCATTTCCGAAGTCCCCCAAAGTAACCGGGGATGGAAGGAAAAATTTATTTTCATCGAGTTTCCCCCCTTTGTCACTCCTTTGGCCGGTCTGAAATGGAACGACCATCTCCTCGACCAAGAGTACGCTGCACCGGCTTCCTCCCCTGACTTGGAAACGAATCTCGAGGTCCTCATGCGCGGGGATCCTTTAACCGGGAGGATCTTCCATTATGGCAGCTAGGTTTGGAGGGTTGAGTCGGGTGGTGAGGGTACCTCCCAGGCCCATGAAGCAGCGGGGCGCGGGGTACCCTCCCCGGGCAACACTGCAGAGGCTGAGGGCCAGAACCACCCAGGTATTTCTCATTCTTGCGATTTGTGCTTTGACCGGTACCATTGCTTATACTTGATGATTTTAGTTTCTTCTGCAGATATGGAGTTCGAGGAGTTTGCCATCCCCGATGACCAACCAGGGGGAGAGGCCGGGGGTTCCAAAGCCGGGACTGCCAAAACTTTCACGGTCCAACCAGAGACCGTGGAAGTCCATGATCTAGATGAGCCAGAAGATGACCGGTCGAAGGGCAAGGAGAAGATCGGCCGGCGGATAAAGAAGGTGGCCACCGCACACCCTTCTTTCGCCAAGAAGAGGCAAAGGGCTGACTCTGACATGGGCTCATAAACCATCGAGGAGGCCTTCGTCAACCTTGGGCTGAGGCTGAGGGAGGTAAGTTGAATTCCCTTCCCGGTATGTTAGGTCCCTACTTTTCTCGGAAGTTTAACCGGTTGGTTCACGCATGCTGCAGGTTGGAGAAATCGGACCCCTTACAGCTGACCGGCTGGGGTTAGGCTCTCCTTCGGAACTTGCCCGGCTGAAGAAGGAGAAAGAGGAGATGGCTCTCATCTTGAAGAGTCAAGCTGACGAGCTGACCAGGCTGTCTGGGCTAGCTGGGTCTATGAAGGTGGAGATCTCCCAGCTGAAGGAAGAAAACTGCCGGTTACTCGACGAAGTTTCTGGGGCGAAGCAGGAGATGGCCAGAAGGAAAAAGACTTCCCCGGTCGTGCTGCCGCATGGGTGGGAGAGAACAAGGCTGAGGCTTCCCGGGTACTCACAGCGACTCCGGAGACGACCATGGAATCTTTCAGGTTTCTCTACCGGGAGCCTGAGGGGAGGAAGATGATCACCGCGATTGGATCCTTTGGTTTCAAGAGCAGTCAGAAGAAAGACCGGATTGCCTCCCACCGGTTTTGCTGAGAAGGGACCCGGAGTTCAGCGCTACCTCTTATGGCCTGGCCCCGATACCGGAGGAAGAGCCTTCTCCCCCCTTCCCCCTCGACTAATCTCCCCGGCGGCGCCCGGTTATTTTTGTAAAACTTTGACTTGGATTTTCCCCGGGTATGCCCGGTGTATCTGTAAACATTTAACATTCTTATTTCATTTGAATGTCATGTTTAATTTCCATACCAGTTGATCTTGCTTCTTGATCGATATTTTCATTTTGCTGCTTAGAATGTCTTCGTGAAAACTCTGACCGGTTGAACTCCACCTTTTACTTTTGAATGTCTTCATTTTTGATGGTCAACTTGAAAAAGTTTGACCGGCTAAACTTTACTTTGGCCTTTTGGATGGTAGATCTTGAACCCTTCTGGGGTGGTGAACACGATAACACCCCCGTATCCTCTAGGACCGGATGCCCCATCAACTGCCATCTCCCACCATTGCTCAGTGGGCTTGTTGACCGGTAGGTCTGGAGTTAGACCGGTCATTTCTACCAGGAAGTCTGCAAGGGCTTGTCCCTAGATTTCTGACCTTGGCCGGTACTCAATGTTGAATTGAGTTCACATCATCGCCCACTTCACCATCCTCCCGGAGGATGTTGAATTTCGCAACACTGCACCCAGCGGTTGGTTAGTCAAGACTTCCATCGGGTGAGCTTGGAAGTAGGATGTTAACTTTTTTGCGGAGATGAAAAGCGCATAGGCTGTCTTTTCCATCGCCGTATATCTACTCTCAGCCCCGTTTAGTGCTTTGCTCACATAATAAATGGGCTTTTGTGCCCCATCATCTCTTATTAAAATGGAGCTTACAGCATTTGGGGAAATTCCCAGGTACAGATACAGAGTTTCACCTGGCTCGGGTTTAAACAATACAATATCTGACGCTAGGTACTCTTTCAGCTCCTCAAATGCCCTCTGGCATTCTTCGTCCCATGCAAATGTGTTGGCCTTCTTTAGAACTTTGAAGAATGGCGGGGATTTCTCAGCTAACCGGGAAAGGAACCGGCTGAGGGCCGCTAGACGACCGGTCAACTTTTGGACATCCCTAACGAAGGTAGGGGCTTGCATTTCAGTGATGGCCCGGATTTTTTCTGGGTTGGGCTCTATTCCTCTCTTGGTCACCATGAATCCCAAGAACTTCCCGGTACGAACCGCGAAGACGCATTTCTTAGGATTCAGCCGGAGGTTGTATTTTGCCATAATATCGAATGTGGCTCGAATATCAGCCGGGTGGTTGAAAGATACCTGGCTCTTAATCAGCATGTCGTCGACGTATGCTTCCATGGTCTTTCCCAGTAGTGGCTTGAAGAGTTTGTTCACCATGCGCTGGTAAGTTGCTCCTGAAATCTTCAAGCCAAACGCCATTACCCGGTAGCAGTAGGTTCCTTCGGGTGTGAGGAATGACGTCTTCTCTTCATCTTCCTTGGCCATGTAGATTTGGTAGTAACCCTTGAAGGCATCCATAAAACTTAGGAGTTCGCACCCCGCAGTTTCGTCCACCATTTGATCTGGACTGGGAAGGGGGTATGAATCCATCGGACAAGCCTTGTTCAGGTCTGTATAATCCACACACATTCTCCATGTGTCGCCCTTGGGAGCAAGGACAACGTTGGCCAGCCAATCCGGGTATTTGACTTCCCGGATGTGACCAACACTGAGGAGGTCCCTCACTTCCTTCTTGACGAAGTCTCGCCGGTCGCTAGCCAGGTACCGCTTCTTCTGACGTACCGGCCGACTTCCCTCTCTCACAGCCAACCGGTGGCAGATAACAAAGCGATCTATTCCGGGCATATCCGCCACGCTCCATGCGAATATGCCCGCGTATTCTTGGAGGACCCGTGTAATCTCTGCCTTGAGATCCTCGGGGAGATTTGCTCCAATTCTGACCATCCTCGAAGAATCACCCGGGTGAAGTTCGATTTCCACCGTCTCGGCCTCGGGCTCCAATTTCTCCCGGGTCTCTCCCTTTGTGATCTCTTGGGAGATGACATTAACCCCCTTGGTCATCTTCTTGACTCCCCGGGCATAGCACTCCCGGGCATTCCTCTGGTCGCCTTTCACTTCACCCACACCACCTGGAGTGTGGAACTTCATGCATAGGTGAGGCATGGAAATCACCGCCCCGACTTTATTAATGCTTGGCCTTCCAAGAATTGCGTTGTGGACGCACTTAATGTCTACAACGATGAACCGCATCTTCTTCCACACGGTCTTCTCACCTGATCCTAGTTCGACCGGTAGAACTATGGATCCTTCAACTTCAACGGTGTCTCCCGTGAAGCTTGAGAGAGAAGTTTTCAGGGGTTCAAGTTGTGTCCGACACAACCTGAGTTTTTGGAAAGTCTTCAAGTATAAGATGTTGACACTGCTGCTGGTGTCAACAAGTACCCGGGCGACATCCACCCCATTAATGTCCATGGTGATGACCAATGGATCATTGTGATCTTCACCGGTAGGAGGGAGATCCCGGTCGGTAAAGACGATCGGCTCTCTCCTAGTATGTTTACGCTTGAGCGGTTCGGCGCTTACCTCACCAACGTAAATTCTCCGGACCCAGTTCTTCCGTTGCGCGGCTGAATCTCCACCTTCAGGTCCGCCGAAGATCATGCCTATGTGCTCTTTTTTGGGAGCAGGTTGCCGCTCCCTTAGCCGGCTATTCCTCCGCCGATCGTTGTCCCAGTCATCTCCCGAGGCGGTTGACCTAACCCATTGATGACTCTTCTCCTGGGCTTTCTGCAAGTAATCCTTGCCCAGCTCTTTACTGTTTATCATCTGCCGGATGACCCCCTTAACACTTTTGCATTCGGAGGTGTTATGACCGGTAGGATTTTCCGGAAGAATGACCGGTGCTTTCCAGATTTCTTGGCATTCTTCCGTATTGACCACACGGACAACCGGGTCATAGTGGTGTCTTGGCCGGTTAGGTCCCGGGGCTTCTTCCTTCTTGACTTGCACCAGATTGGGCTTGTAACCATGCTCAGCTTCTTTCTTTGCTCGGAGTTGGGTTTCAGCCTCAGCAAACTCCCATGCAGTGTGGTAGGCCTCTTGGTACGTGGCCGGGGGTTTCCGGCAGAACTCCTTGTATAGTTTCCCGGCACGCAAGCCATTCAAGAGGAGGGATAAGACGGTCTTGTCATCCATCTCTTCCACCTTGTCTACCTCTTCCTTCCACCGGGTAAGGAACTGAGTAAGGTTCTCAGACTCCCTCCGCCCGGCTGTACTAAGATAGGTGAATTTCTTCCTCTTAGTACAATTCTCCTGGAACTTGGCCTTGAATTTTGAGACCAAATCACTGAACAAATCAATGCTTCCCGGGCGAAGCTTATTGAACCATTCAGTGGCTCGGTTCCGCAAGGTCTAGAAGAAAAGAAGGCACTTTTCTTCATCGGTGCAACCGTTCATGGTCGCACTCTGGTTGAAGGAGTCTAGATGGATTTCCGGATCCTCCTTCCTGGTGAATCTAGGGGCGTCGATCTTGACCTTTAGCGGGAAAGGTGTCAGATGGACCCTTGTGGTGAACGGGGACCCTGCCAGGGGTTTGTCCCGGTCATTCTTCTCTCCGACCTTCTTTTCCAGTCTCTCTAGTTTTGCCTCCATCTGCTGGACGCGGTCATTTGGGACGGTCAACCGGTTCGCCACCGGTAACCTGGGCTGGCTCTCTGCTTCCTCTTCCTGACGAGAGGCCCTCGTCCTCGCTGGCTCCTGCCGGTTAGTCCGGGAGCGCCGGGTGCGGGCAGGCTCGGCCTCCCGCACCTCACCTAGCTGGGCGAACGCGCTGACATGGGCAACGCTCTGCCCCAGCCTTTGCTTGGCTGACTTCCTCTGGCCTTCCTCCCTATCCCCCAGCCTTTCGAAGGCGGAGTTTCGGGAGGTCGCTGGCCGGATGTTTTTTCCTTTCTTCTTCTTGTGGGCCCTTGGAATGTCCCACTCGCCATCATCACTCTCAATTGAGACGCAATGACCATCAGAGGTGACTTGCGGATTCGTACCTTGCGGGGGACGCGACGGCCCTGCAGCGTTAAGTGCGCCAGTCAAGTTGACAGGGGCCATGGTGTTGACCAGCTGCGGCTGGAAAGGTGATGGCTGCGGCATCGGCTTCTGGAACGGTGTCACTGCCATTGGAGCTTGTAGGGGCATGGCTCCCGCGCCTGGAAGAGCGAATGGGAACATACCAGGGAGAAAAGGCATTCCCCCGTTCTGTTGGCACATGGCCATGACCTGGCCAAAGCCCTGGATGGCCTGTAGATTGGCTGGGTCATTCATGAACTGAGTCATGCTTGGTGGGAACGTGACCCTCGGCCCAGCGGAAGGGACGGGGGTCGTGAATGGGCTCATCATGCTAGGCGTTGGGACAGAGCTCAGACCCAAAGGCAACACTGGGGCAGAAATGACCGGCAGGGTAGCAGCCACAGGGATGCTGGTACCCTCATTGGTGGCTGGCACCTGAGTGGAAGTAGAGTTGATTTGCTGACTGGAAGACATTTTGAGTGGTGTTCTTGTGGGTAGGTTTGTGTTTAGAAGAGAAGAAACCTTAACGGTCCCACGGTCGGCGCAAAAAATGATGGTGTAAATTACTTGACCGGCCAAACTATACTAGACCGGGTCTAGAATAGTTTGCTTGATTTGGCGAAGTAAGAAAGGTAAAAACACGCAGATTGACCGGTAGGACTTTAGGTGGAACACCTGTAGCCCAATTTATATTATAACGGAGATTGCACGGGTGCTTTTACAAGGGAGTTTAGAGAGAGTGAATTCGAATCCCTCTTTCTGAGGTTTACATGAGTATTAATACTAGGCCAAGGGGGACAGGACCACGTGCGCCCACGTGGGGGCACGCTGCTGATGTGGTGCGAGGTGACTGGTTTTGTCCTCGAGCAGCCTTGTCACCTTGTAAGGGGAATTACTTCCCTTGTCGCGTTCTGGTTTGGAAACATTCCTTCAGCATCTCCAGTTGTCCTTCACTGACATGGGTTGCTACACGCCAAGCCCTTTTAGATTCTCTCCTGCCGACACTTTCCAGCCCTAGAAACTACACCGGGTAATCTCCGAGGGATGAGTTCATCGAAGTTAGGGAATAAATAGGGTGACAAAGTAGTTTGACCGGTATACTTTTTCGTGAAGTATACCGGTCATCTTTGGGCCGATGGCATATCAATTTGCCGATAATTTAAGTCTCCCTTCCAAAACGTTCGAGATTGACCGGTCAACTAATTGGTCTTCTCTTTTGACCGGTCGTGGGTGGAATACACCCATCATTATTCATAATGGAAACAATACAGAGTTTTCAATATTGTGAAACATTAGTTTAAGGCAGATAGTAAAGGAACCCTTAAACTAGAATAAGTTTAAGACAGATAATAAGTAGACTCTTAAACTATAATAAGGCAGTCAAACCATATTCAACGATATAATTATTATATTTTTTGTAATAATTTTTCCGACATAATATTTTTAGGTGTTTGACTTTGAAAGGGTCTAAATTGATTTAACTAAGGTTCAACAATAATTTATCTTAATCAAAATAATTTGTTTAATTGAATAATAATTTTACAAAACTTTTAGGGTGTATTTTGAAGAATTACACAACGGGCTTAGTTCACCTAGAGGGGAGGTAGTATTAATTTTATATAGTAGTCTTTGTATTTCAGTTAGCTTCCTATTCTTAATTATGGTAGTTATAGTATTTTAGTAAGTTTTCACTCCCTATTTTTAGTTGTGTTAGGAGGATGGTTGCTAATCAAGTACAAAATAAAATTTAAAAAAATTCCATATGCGAAATAGGGTGGGAAGATGGTTGCCAGCTAATTTGGTGTCAGTTAATTACAAAATATAATTTTAAAAAAAATTTGCATGTAATACATGCGAAAGTGTGGTTGAGGAATTTATTTTCCAAATTTTTCCGACTGAGGGAATTCCTCGAGAAAGAGAACCTTAGTTTTGTACACTTATAAGGACCATGCTACACTTATACCAAAAAAATGTACCCCACTTGTACACCACAGTTTTGTACAAACATTTTGATTATTTACACTGACACAAGTGTTGGTGTGTTAACAAAAATTTACACGGACACATATGTTGGTGCGTTAACAAAAATTAGTTTTACACCAACACAAATGTTAGTGCAAACTTGCGAGTACAAATTGGGGTATAAATGTTAGGGTACACATAGCTTAATCCCTAAAAAATCAAGCAATGATAGGGGAATCTCATTTTTGGTATAAAAAATAATGTCACATGTGAAATTCTCCAAAATTTTCCCATAAAAATATTGTCTTACTCTTTATGTCGTATATACTCCGTATATATATACTCCAAGTCTGCTAATAGTCAAGCAGCAAGTAATTACGAGTACTAATCCCCACAAAGAGCAGTTGGCAATGTCCGATCTCAGTTCTTCCCTCCCCGCGGCCGCCGCCGGTAATTTTACCGTTCTACATGCCGCTGTATACAGGCTTAGCTATTTCAATTTCATCAGTTTTTTTGTTCGCCTTAATCTGCAGCTCTGAGCGCAGAGGATCGCGACGACTTAGTTAATGTGTTGAAGGTGGTGAATTTTTACTATATTTCAATTCAAATTTATGTGTTGTTGTGTTCTCCGCATTGAATTTATGCTGTTTCGGTGACTGGAAATATGATTTGTATGCCATTTGGCTTTGATTTTGTGGAATTTGGCGGTGTACTGTGTAGAATAAGCTTCAGAGTTTGGCTGTGCGCGAGTCCGATATGCTGAAGAATTTGACACCGAGTGTACGGAAGCACGTAGAAGCCCTGGAACAGATTCAGGTTTGGTTGTGCTTTGAAAATTTTGATACATTTTCGATTTTAAGACTCCGCTAGGGCCGAATTACTTGATTCTTCCTGAACAAAAGGGATTGTGATGATTTTTGTATTTGCAGAACCAACATAATGAATTAGAGGCCAAGTTTTTTGAGGAGAGGGCAGCACTTGAAGCCAAGTACCAAAAGCTATATGAACCCCTTTACACCAAGGTAAAAAGTACTTCATAATATTTACACCAAGGTAAAAAGTGCTTCATAATATTTATTTTAAAAAAAATATACTCAATAGTAATCTCTCAATTATGACCCTCTCTAGTTACACCAATCACCAATGTTCTACTTCTGCGCTTCTACTCCCCTTGGTCCCATTAAAAGGCTTCTTGTTCAGAAATGTGAAATTGTTAAATTTTAATATGGTACAACTATTAAAAACCATCAAATTTAACACTGAACTTCTTTAGTTCAAATTGCACTTTTTGGGACAAAAGTAAGTTTAGAAACACACTCTGTTTGGCAAGAATTTTAGCATTTAGCTTCTGCGTTTTGCTAATGCTATCCAATTCTAGCTTTTAGAGTTAGCATTTTCAAATTCATTTGATGTCATTAAAACATGATCCAAAATGCCATTCATGAAAGTTATTCCCAAACAAAAGCCATACTCTGTTAATGGGACAATGTGAGTATTACTGATGAAGTCATTTATTCTCGATTGTGTACGCTTTGAAAAAGTTCATCTTATTCTTGATACATTTGTTAGAGATATGAAATAGTGAATGGCATTGTCGAAGTTGAAGGTGTTAGTGAAGCGTCTGGTGATCGGGGAGATGACAAGGGAACTGAAGGTGAGGCATACTTGTTCATGCCAATTGTACAGTTTTAGGAGTTCTTGTGACAATTTGGTGTTTAGAAATGGCATTTTGTTTGAAAAAGAGAATCATATCTTTGCAGAAAAAGGCGTGCCCAACTTCTGGCTGAATGCAATGAAGATGAATGAGATATTGACAGAAGAGGTAAACGTCTTGAGATTCATTATTTCATCAATGGAGAATGTCTATCCCACTTATAACTGGTGATGAGATTAGTTGACATTACTCAATTCAGATCACAGAGAGGGATGAAGAGGCTCTGAAATACCTGAATGACATAAAGTGGTCTAGGCTTGATGGTTCAAAGGGGTTTAAGCTTGAGTTCTTCTTTGACCCCAATCCTTTCTTCAAGAACACTGTCTTGGTGAAAACATATTACATGCATGACGATGATGAGCTTATATTGGAGAAGGCAATTGGGTTTGTTTGTACTTAATTAACATTTCTAATCTTTAAATCTTATGTCCTGCTCCTTAATTTATACAAAGTTTTTATATCTAATGTGTTATAGGACGGATATTGAATGGCATCCAAGTAAATGCCTAACTCAAAAGGTCCTGAAGAAGAAACCAAAGAAGGGTTCAAAGAGTGCAAAACCAATAACTAAAACTGAAAAGTGTGCTAGTTTTTTCAACTTTTTTAACCCTCCTGCAGTTCCAGATGATGATGATGAGGAGGAGAAAGACGAGGAGGATGTAAGTTATTACAGTTTCTATTAATATAAGTACCATGCTGCTTGATAAGAATGTATTGAAATCCACATTACTAACATGGATGATTCTTTGAGCAGGCCGAAGAACTCCATGAGCAGCTGGAACAAGACTATGAGATCGGGTGTGTGAGGAATCATTTTTCGGATAGTGGCTGAGGAACTTGTTCATTTTCTGATTCGTAAATTTGGTAAACGAATGACATCAAGCATTTCTTTTTGTGCAGCTCAACTATTCGAGACAAGATCATCCCTCATGCTGTATCATGGTTTACGGGTGAAGCTGTTGAATTGAATGAGTTTCAAGATACAGAAGAAGAGGATGATGAATGTGATGAAGATGACGATGAGGACGATGATGAAGACTCTGATGACGAGTAACAATAAGGTGAACTTTTAATTGAATTTACATATTTGCAGAGATTAAGGCTCCATTTGGTAGCCATAATGAGTTCAATCTGCTTATTTGGTTGGAATGAATGTTACCAAACACGTCCTTTTAGAAATTTCTCCATTCCAGCCAAATAGCACTTGCTTAACGTAGAGTAACATAATTCGTTCATGTGCGTGAGCACATCTTTCACACTAATGGAAGATATATTTTGAATAACAATCAAGTTATCAAGATCATAAGAGATCAATAACCTTACGTAAAATCTTTGTTTAGTGGCGAGACATTGTCACAATTTCAATTCTTTTGACGTTCAAAATGGTTCGGTAAATTGCAGAAAAATGGTGTGAAGAGTCAACCAAACGAACATCCTCCGATTGAAGGCCAGAAAAGTTATACATATATAGTCATTGTTGTCTTTGGTCTCTACTTGTGCTTTTTTCCTTTTGGTTATCATTTTCCATTTTTGGTACTTACTTTTTATTCTCCTGCCCATAACAATTTCTTCACTCCCCATTTTCCTTCATATATGATATATTCGTTGTTTTGTACTCTTTTCGTTCCTGAGTATTTGTCAATTTTTTACTTTTGTCATTAAAAATGGTGAATTTTGACTTCTAATTAAATAAAATTCATATTAGATATTGATAAAAAGTAATTTTATTAGATTTATTATATACCCAGTAAAGTATTTTTAAAATAATATTTTACATAATTAATATACAATATATCTTTTATTTAATCATATGTCAAAGGTTGAAAAATGATTAACTGAAAAAAATTCAGAATTAGATAAACACTTAGGAACGGAGGTAGTATTAGAATATATTCCATTGCATATAATCCAATTTCTTGAATAAAAACCCTAGATTTAGTTTTAGTATAAAACTATGAACATTCGGAGTAGCTTTTAAAATTGAATGCTTTGAAAAATATAGCTACTTACAAAAACACGAGCAATATACTCCCCATGGCTTATAAAAATAGAAATGTTTCTCAAAATGGAACTTTTAAATTTTGAAAGAACTATTGGAAATTGTTAAATTTTAGAGATAACATTATAGAATTTATTTGTTTGTTTAACTAAACGTTGTTTAGTACACTGGTGGCAGATTCAGAAATTTGAATGGTTGGGATACCACTGATGGGGCCCTAGATTTTTTAATAAGCAATATGAAAAGACAAAAAATAATAAATTTCATTTCAAACATTTATTGAACGTGGAACTATTTTCAATAGGTAATGTTAAAATTTATTTTTTAAACAATTAAATAAATGTTTAAAAAATAATAAAACACACTTTGCTAAAAAGGATAAACAAAAACATTAAAAATTAGCTTAATTTGACTGGGCGCTCTTAATTTTAGTTGTGGACAAAAAAACACAAATACACTTAACTTGTGTGAGACATTTATCCTCCTATATACAATGCTAAGATGACATTGTGAACAGTGTTCCCCCCTATTTTACCACCTTCATTTGGGCCGGTTTCGGGCCTGACATTGCTGGGCCGAATTGGGCTATCTTTTGACGGCTATTGAATTGGCTTGCTTCATATGGTGCGTGGCTCCATAAGGTAAAGTAATGATACTTTACGGAGCATCTTGCCAAGCTTTAGGTCAAATCAGCTTTATATGGATTGTTAAATCAATTATTCCCTAAGTCTCTTTGAGTGTTGTCAAATCAACTTTATATGAGTTGTCCAATCGGTGGTGCTTTGCTCCATGATGTGGTGCTTTGCTACATAAAGTAAAGTAATGATACTTTATGGAGCAAAGTGCTAAGCTTTAGGTCAAATCAATTAAATAAATATATTTGCACAATCCAAACATTTAATATGTAGGTAATTAGTTCATTCTCTAGGTATTATATATACACTTCTTTGAGCATTATAATAAGCCACTTCGTTAAATAACCCCATTTGAAATTTCGTATTTATGGCTCAAATTTCTCAAAAGAGTTCAAAGACAATGTTTACCCCGAGTTTAAAGGTCTTGATGGGTAGTGTATTGATATGGAACCACGTGCCTTATAAAGTTGGTGCGTAACTCGATACAAACTTTATGTCAAATCAAAATAAATAAATGGGTAGTGTATTGATATGGAACTGCGTGCGTAGTAATGTTGGTGTGTGGCTCAATGCAAACTTTATGTCAAATCAAAATAAATAAATGGGTAGTGTATTGCTATGGAACCGTGTGCGTAGTAAAGTTGGTGCGTGACTCGATGCAAATTTTATTTCAAATTAAAATAAATATATGAGTAGTGCATTGATATGGAACCACGTGCATAGTATTGTTGGCGCGTAACTCGATGCAAACTTTATGGCAAATCAAAATATATACTCCGTAAATGAGTAGTATATTGTTATAGAACCGCGTGCATTTTAAAGTTGGTGCGTGACTCGATGCAAGCTTTATGTCAAATCAAAATTAATAAATGGGTAGTGTATTAATATGGAACCACGTGCGTAGTAATGTTGGTGCGTGGCTCGATACAAACTTTATGTCAAATCAAAATAAATAAATGAGTATTGTAACGATATGGAACCGCATGCGTAGTAATGTTTGTGCGTGGCTCGATGCAAACTTTATGTCAAATCAAAATAAATAAATGGGTAGTGTATTGCTATGGAACTGCGTGTGTAGTAAAGTTGGTGCGTGACTCGATGTAAATTTTATGTCAAATCAAAATAAATAAATAGGTAGTATATTGATATGGAACCATGCGTTGTAGTGTTAGTGCGTGGGTCGATGCAAACTTTATGTCAAATCAAAATAAATAGATGGGTAGTCTATTGCAATTTAACCGCGTGCGTAGTAAAGTTGCTACGTGACTCAATGCTAACTTTATGTCAAATCTAAATGAATAAATGGATAGTGTATTGATATGGAACCGCATGTGTAGTAATGTTGGTGTATTGCTCGATGCAAACTTTATGTCAAATCATAACAAATAAATGGGTATTGTTTTGGTATGAAACTGTGTGCATAGTAAAGTTAATGTGTGGCTCCATACAAACTTTATGTCAAATCAAAATAAATAAATGAGTTGTGCATTGATATGAAATCGCGTGCGTTGTGATATTGGTGTGTGACACGATGCAAACTTTTTGTCAAATCAAGAAAAATAAATAGGTAGTGTATGGCTATAAAACCGCGTGCGCAGTAAAATTGGTGTGTGGCTCCATACATACTTTATGTCAAATCATATTAAATAAATAGATTTACTCAATCAAGACATTTAATGGGTATACTGATTGTCCAATTAATATACTACTTAGACTCCAAGCATTTCATGCATCTCATCCCAATTCGGCCCACTTTAAAAAAATGTCTCAATACATTCAAAGAGTATGTGAAATGTGTTTGCTGATATTGGCAATAGTCGAACCACTTGGATACTTATGTTACGAGTGGTTCGTGTCTACTTTGTTCCGGTTTGGACAAGAGGAAGAGATTCGATGAAAGTGAGCTTTCATGATGAACATGTATTGTATTCACAATTTTTTAATATTTAATTATATGTTATTATTATAATTTAATTATAATTTAATTTTATCATTTTCTTTCATCAATGTTTTCCTTAAGGGACGGCCGGAGTAGTTTATAATTAGACCGTGCAACGCACGGGTGCGAGTCTAGTTTATAAAAAGGCACAAGTACTTTGTAGGTTCCTAGAAAAATACTCCCTCCGCCCTAAAACTTTCTTCTGAGTTTGACTTTTTCCCATTTTTAATTTTTGGCTTTGACTTCAAATTTTACCCTCCTTAAAAAGATTTTTTGAATTTTTTTTTGCAATCGTTCAAAATATAGAGTTAGAAGATAATTGGTGTAAATACATGAGGGTATTAATGTCATTTGTCATCTTTTTTTTTCTAATGAAAGTGTAGTTTTAGGACGGAGAAAAAGGAGAAGTGAGAAGAAAGTTTTAGGACGGGGCGCCCTCAAGAGGTATTAAAAAGTAAAATGCACCGCCACTTTTCTTAAATTCATAATTCACCCTTATAAAGTAATTTAATTTGAGAAATGCTAGTCATAGACAATATTGACACAAACTTGCTATTATGAATTTATTTTTTTATTTTTTATTAATTGAGACAATTATGCAGCTTTAGTAATGTTCATAAACAAGATGTTTGAGAAGTTTGTATCAATATTTTCTGTGGCTCTAACATTTCTTATTTTATTACCACTCCATGCTGAAAAACAAACAGCATTATTACAACTCAATATTTTCTGTGGCTCAATTAACCAATTCCATCTTAATTTTAAGATATTCAGCCAATTTTTCCTTTTAAAAGAAAACACCTTTTTTTATTAATTTTTTAACTTTATCTCTCTTTTTACATTGTTCTTTCTTTCGTATTCTTTTTGGAAAAAGAATAACGTTACCTTCATTGGAAAAATCTTTTCACATTTTGACTTTTTTGTCAAGTTTATAAACACTAAGGGTCCGTTTGGTACATGGAATTGACGGAATTGAAATTAAATTAAAAGTTGGATATCTATAGAATTGATTTGGGTGGAATTGAGTTATCCAATTCTAGTTCATTTTTGGCGCTATCACTTTCAAATTCATATATTTTTGTCCTACCTAACAGTAGAATTGAAATTGTTGTCCCCAACTCCAATTCCATAGTTTGAATTTCTGTGTACCAAACGGAGCCTAATATAGTTTAAATATATAAATGTTATAAAAATTTGATAAATCAAATTTACGTCCATTTTTTACACATCGCATAAAATATTTTTACCACATCTAAAATACTAAAAAATAAAGTATTTCTTCCTGCACTCGAGGAGTAAAGAGGTATCTTTTGCATTAATATTTTTTTTTGATCAAAAAGGAGGGGAGACCCCAAACTAACTCATGTGCACTCTACGAACTCTGGTAGCACCCATCATGTCATCAGCAATGATGTCATCCATCTCAGGCGGAGGGTCCTCGTGGTCTATCCAATTTGCCTCCGGAAAGGTTCCAATTGTAGCAAGGCGATCAGTCGCAAAGTTTTGCTCTCGAAAGATGTTTTTGAACTCAAGCCTTGTAAACTTTCTTTGCCAGTTATGCTTTATCTCATCAATGATATCGCGATTAGGGGCCCTAAGAGAAGTGTAGTCGGCCATCCACTTTATAACTTCACTTGCGTCTGTCTGAACCTGAAGTTCCTTAACACCCTTTTCCCAAGCCCACTCAATGCCTCTAGCAATTGCCATGACTTCCACTGACGTCGCACAATTTGAACTAGCATTATCCGTAAATCCCCCTTTCCACTCACCTCTTCTGTTTTGGAGGATTCTGCCGATGCCTGCTTTGTTGATAAGTGATTTGCAACTCCCGTCAACGTTAAGGGTCCATTCACAATTCTGAGCCATCCTCCACTTAAGCGGGTGATCAGTAATAATTAGTAAAATTGCTCACCATTTGTTGCCTTGCAAAAGCTGTGTTGGTTTCTTTGACCGCCTCTTTGATCCAACATGGCTTTCGTCTATCGTCAAGCTCCTCCCTGCCAAACGTCATAGCATTTCTCCACCGCCAGATCCACAAGCAAGCAGTGGCAAAAATGATGCCCCAGTCACCATCGATGTTGTTGTTTCTCTTTTGCAAAAGATTTGCGTGGATCCAATTCTTGATGCCACCACCATATGTTTGTATCCACATTACCTCCCATGTTGTTCCAGACATGTGTAGCCTTGGTGCAGGTCTTGAAGATGTGCTCAGTTGTCTCTTCTTGGCCGCTACACACAAGGCAATTTCCATCGACCGTGAGGCCTCTCCTTTTCCGCTCAGCGTATCCCAACACTTTATATCGTGGCTCATTGTCCATAACCGAATTTTAACCTTGTTCGAGACCTTGAGTTTTCATATTATTGTCCAACTATTGTCCTGCAGTTGAAGGTTAAAACCCCTAATCATATTATATGCTGAAGTAATAGAGAAGTTACCTGAAGGTTCTTGATTCCAATACACTTCATCTGGCATCCTTGATTGTGTGTCCAACACCATTGAGTGCAAGCGGGAGATGATATTAGCCGGTAGAATGGGTAAGTTGTTCCATTTCCACCCGCTCGTTTCGTCCCACAAATCGGCAACAGATACATGCATGTTATGGGACTCTCCCATGTCCTGGATGAAATCAATGAGCGGCTTCTCTTCAACCCAGGTATCCAACCAGAACTTTGTTTCATGACCTATGTTGACTTTATGACTAAGGCCAGTATTCACTAATTGCATGGCATGTGTAATCCCTTTCCATGCATTAGAAGACCCTTTAACACTTTGAAACATGTCCTTTCCCGTTCTATGTCTTGCATATTTAGAGATTAGTACTTTGGCCCACAAGTTGTCTCCTTCGATGAGAAGACGCCAGCCAAGTTTAGCCATAAAAGCCTCGTTCATATCCCTGGCTGATTTAATTCCAAGACCACCAAGCTCAATTGGTTTCGTCACTTGGTCCTAATTAACAAGGTGGCACCTCCTGTTCTCAGTGGTGCTGCCCCAGATGAATCCCCGCACTCGTTTATTAATTCCCTCCAGGATACCTGCTGGTAGCATCATTGTTTGCATGGTATAATAGGGAATGGTGCTAAGCACAGATTGTGCAACTACACGCCTGCCCGCAAAAGTAAGTAACTTGGTTTTTCAACCTTCTAGCTTGGCATCAAGTCTGTCTAGAATACATCCAAACATATTGTTTGTCATCCTCTTGTGAATAGACGAGACTCCAAGGTACTTGCCAAGGTCCTGGGTATGAGGTGTAACACCCTAATCCGTCCAGGTCTGCAGCCCCATTTGGACTAAACGTATCAGAGGTTTATACATTTTTTTTATTCTTTTGTTTCTTTACCGAATACGAAAATTCGACTTGAGTCTATGCTCGATATAATTTCAGTACTAACAATTGTTATCAAATGAGAATTTTAACAAGTCAATATTTACTAAGTAAATTCTCATACCTTTCCTGGAGCAGAGGGATGCGAGAGTCGTGGATGTGATTGACATTTTATTTTATTATTATTTTTAAAATCAAATTTCGATCCGAAGATCGGGTTTAAAACCATGTGCTCCGATACCAAATTGTAACACCCTAATCCGTCCAGGTCTGCAGCCCCATTTGGACTAAAGTATTTAACTTGGTAATCGTAAATTTTAAAACTTTTCAAACACACTTTATTAATCTCAATAATATTTTTCATAACATATACAACACGGAGTATTTAACAATATTGCGGAAGCGAATTTAATATTGACATATCATAAATTATTTCAAAACTTTGTCACTTCCATCCTGACAATCTCGCCCCATCTGCCGCCAGAATCACATTAATCTTTCTGTTTACTTGCGTGTAGCAAATAAAACATACTACACGCTCAGCGTTGAAGCTGAGTAAGCATATCTAATGCATCGAACATCCATATAGTTTGAATCTCAATTCATAATTAACCATTTGATATCATGCACACAATACATATTTCAAGCATACATTATTCATGATATTCACAATATTTTATTTTAAGTCATTTCATGATATATTCAATATTCAATATTTCATCAGTGCTCTTAAATTATTCTTAATCTAAAGCCAAATCATTTTTATACAAGCTCTTAGCTATCCCTAGTCTAAGGCAATATTTCTAACCAGGCCCTTAAACTATAAATAGTTTAATGCAGAACACGAGAATCGATAATCCACCCTATGAGTCATGTGGATTACGTACCAACCAAACAATGAACTGTCGGGTGGGTGATATCTGTTCTGGATCCCGTACGTACGTTTTAACCCCGAAATATGAATTGGTCAAGGAGGTATATCTAAGAGTTCTTCTAGATATCCTTAATAATAATCATCAATTTTCCAAGTGGGTATATCTTAGAGTTCTTCTAGATATCCTTAACAATATACATCATTTTCATAATCATCAATATATTCATTTTTTTTAATCAAAATTTAATCATTCGTAATTATTTTTTTAATAATAATATTCATCAAAGTCTAATCATAAACAACATCAATAATAATCATCACAATATCTAATAACAAATAGCGGCCTAGCATCGAGTGTTAACACCTTAGCTTACCGTCATACATCACATAAAATTTTATTTGTCAAAACATCATTTTTATTTTATCACATAAAATTTTATTTGTCAAAACATCATTTTTATTTT